AAAAAAAAAAAAACCCCTCTAGCTCAGTACGGGATATACTGATTTCGTTTGGTTTTGTCTAAAAATGTATGTAACCGGATACAATCATGTGTAAATAGACACATACACACACATATATGTAATCATGTGTAAATAGACACATACACACATATATATACACACACATGTTGGTATATATTTTCATGCATGCATAATGTTGCTTTAGCCACTAGACACATAAATGTAATCTTCTCATTTATAGCTACAAAAGCACTTTCCTTTATTCATTCACATGCAATTCTTGAATAAAGAAATAACTTGCACAAATGATAATATGCACAAGAATAGGCATGGGAATGGGGTGGCAATGTTAATCCCCCTTCCCAATTACTTATCTCTGTCTCCATCCCCATCCCCGTTGGGGAATATGATTACATCTTCATCCCCAATGGGGAAATAGGGATTTTTTTTGTTTATATAAGTTATTTTAAATTAAATATGTGAGAGATCATACATGTTTAAATCTCAAACATTTTCAATAAATCTAAAATCAAAATGAATTTAATTTAATACAAAAAAACCACAATATCATATAAGAACTAATAACCTAAAATCAAAAAAAAAAAATCAATTTAATCCAAAAAAAACTTAAAAGTCAAATGTACCAAAAGATATTGAGTAATATAAAACCATATCGAGTAATTGTATTTTGACTTGACATTCAAAATACTACACATTAACATCCAAAAATGACAATTTTAGATTATAAACCTAGTTAGAAAATAAAAAATTATGAATTACCGTTTTAGTTGAAATAAATAGTATACATATACATATAGGGGTCTATTCAAAGGAGAACTGATTAGTTTGTGATAACTGTGAGATCCAATCACAACCACAAATCAAAGGATAAATTAGGAAATTAATAATTATGATATTTTGAGTTAAAATTATAATTAGAGGGCATTTTAGATATTTTTAAAATAACTTTTCTCTCCTCTCTCCTCTCTCATCTCTCTGACCTCCAATCTCCGGCCTCCGGTGAACATTAATCCGGCAGGTACCAAGTAATCACAAAGATACACAATGTGATACACATTGTGATATACTGTGATACCATTGTGATACCAACTCAAACCTTAAAAACAAAGATAGACAATGTGATACCCATTGTAATACACAATGTGATACCCCTTGTGATATACTGTGATACCCCTTGTGATATACTGTGATACCGATTTCACCGGAGGCCGGAGATTGGAGATCGGAGAGATGAGAGATGAGAGAGGAGAGAGAGAAGGTTTTAAAAAAAAATACCTAATATACTTTTTAATTATAATTTTAACTCAAACTACTATAATTATTAATTTCCTAATTTATCCGTTGATTTGTGGTTGAGATTGGACCTCACAGTTACAACAAACGAATCAGTTCTCATTTGATTAGGTCCCTATATATATATATGTGTGTGTGTGTGTGTGTGTGTGTGTGTGTGTGTGTAAATATATATAATGTGTACGGGGCGGGGAGTACGATATCCGTCCCCATCCCCGGTTTGAGACAAATGGGGATCCTTGTCCCCGATTTAGCGGGGAATCCCCGTCCCCGATCGGGGCGGGTAGACCGGGTTCTCCGACGAGTCGGGACCCATTCCCATGCCTACACAAGAAGGTGAGGTAGACTTGATCAAATATAAAATATTGGAGAAGTAATCTTTCAATAAATTAATTTAGATTAAATCGTATCAAAATGGAATCTCGTATCAAAATGGAAGATAACATATTTCAATAGTATTTTGTTTTAGATGTATATTCACAATCTTCACGGAATTAGATAACATATTGTTTGCGTGGAAAACAAAATGTATAGAAGCAGAGACCCTAAAAAACTTGGTCGTGTATAGACCTCACGGCGAACCTTTGATATTTATCGTATCTTCATAATGTTGATCATGTCTTCAAGAGTGTTGGATCTTATGCTAAGTGGAATGATTAGAATGTGTTATGGAAAGTAATACTTGTTGATGCCTTTGAGTCTTCAACCATGTACCTTTTGAACTAAATGACCCCATAAGCGGGACCACCACCCAATAGCTTTAATAGCAGAGAATCTTCTAATTGTTTCAGAACAACTAGAAAGATATTCTTTAACAAAAAAAAAAAAAATATATATATATATATATATATATATATATATGGTTTAGACGTAGGATACCTATCCAGAAGTAGTATATATGTATGTCAATCCAACACAAGTCATTTTTCTATTCATAAAGCAACATGGCCTTCTGAATATCCTTCAGAACCAAAATAAATTTCCAAGTATAATTGTATTTGTCATCAATTAATTCTATCTGTTTTTGATCTCAACACCTTTGTTTAGCAAGCACTAATTGAGATAATTCCTTCATTAAGTTGTTTTCGACTCCAGACAGACTCCATTGCAAATTTTTTAAGACAAATTCTCACATAATTTTCTTCATCAGCACTTCTCTCACACCTAGATTATCTGGCCACACATTCATTCTTTCATAAAACCACTTTAATGTTGCACTTAAATACTTGGGAATGTCTGATAGCCTAAACATTTGTAAAAATAGTATGTTAGAAACAAAGCAAACTTATGCAACCTCAAGATGATTAATAAATTTGGTGACAACATGATGAGTATCTATAGTTGTTGTGTTTGGAGCAGTCAACTTAACTCTCTTATGCCTTTGCTCAATTGCCAATTGAAAATCATACAGTGCTAGGTTCCTCAAGAAAATTCCCATTATTCTTCTGACTTCTAATGCAAACTCTGGTTCATCCAAGTTATCAAAGAAATGAAATAAGGAAGCATGATTTTCCAACTTCAACTTGTACAAATATGCATTTGTCACTAAACATAATGATCTGTTAATCCCAGTTTCAATCAGGTAACAATGAATTAAACAATCAAGAAAAACAATCTAGAGATCAAACCATCATGTATATTGATAAACTCTTCAATACATGTCTCTCTCTAACTTCTCTCTCTAAAATGTAACAAATGAATAGCACGTTAAGATCTTACTATGAACTACCATTACAAGCTATTTATACAATTGACTAAACATACAATTCTAACTACAAAGTAAACAACAATATAAGCTCCATGTTGACTTTAAACTTTAACCTCTTCAGTCTTTAAACTCGGTGATCTCGGATACAATAATATTTGACCTAACAATCTCCCCCTTTGTATCCGGAGATCACATTCTCCAAAAACAAATCCCCTTGTCTTCACTTCAATGGATCTTTGACATAAACAATCTCCCCCAATGAAGATAATCAAACTTTATCAACCTTCGAATAAGATGAATCTAAAAAATAACAATCTCGCCTTTTCAACAAATATACTCTTCAAATCAAAGTCATCACTTTGAAACAATCTCATCACTTTGAAACAATCTTCAAAATCTTCAGACGCTTTAGAATGTTTTTCAGTCTTCAACAGTCAACAAATCTTCAACAAATCGTTTTCTGTCAACAAATAAGCTTCAGATATTTAAGTTGTCTTAGCATGTTGCGCATATCTTCCTCCTCGAACTTCCAAAATTGATGAGTCCAGTTTCATTGGAAAGAGAACACACAGAGATACAACTTTTGAAGTTTTGAATTTAATCAAATTCAATGTGATGATATGCTTAATTTTGTGTTTAAGTGTGTGGAAAACTGCTGGACAGAAAGTTGTGCGTTTCATGCTATATCTCTCCTAATTTCATAATGGTGTTCTCTCTTATGATTTTTATGGATCCAATTTGTGGTATTGAAGTATTATGAACCATTTCCTCATATGATCTTAAAGGAACAAGTTCTTGAGTTTAAAGATCACTCAACTCGGATTTCAAAGGCAGATTCTTTGTCAAAAGACTATTTTGCACAACTGTGGAATGTCATGCACAACTCACTCATTATCTATCCGTTTTGGATTAATCAAATCTTGTTGGGAAGCTAAGATTACGGACTTCGATGTTTATGTTTTGAGTTTCATTTGTATAAAGTTGCTAGATGGTGCAAAACAGTGGTGAAGAAGGCACATCAAATCTAATCCAAAAGATGTAAATTGTAGAGAATAAGAGCTTAATTTGAGGGGGAGCTTGGAACGTTTTGCAAGACATGAAGCGAGCAACACTAAAGTTTTCAAATAAATGAAATGGGAGATGATTTCAAGATGCTTTCTTTATAAAACTTTAAGGGAAGATTGTCGGAGCTAAATAACCCCAAGTTACTGAAGGTTTTATAAAGTCAACTAAAGCCAATTGTATAGTCAAAAATGTCCTTGTAATTGTATTTTTGGCTTTTCGGAGGTAAATGGGCTTTGGCTCATTACTATTGTAAATGGACCCTATAAATAAAGGTGTTAGGCTAATTTGTTCATTTGAGAGAGTTCATTTCATTCACTCACAAAACTCAGAGAGCTTAAAGAAGCATGTTGACTAGAGTGCTCTCTCTCTCTCTCTCCATTGTAATTCAAGTTCATGAATAGAAATCATCAATAAATTGATCTTCATGCCTACTTTTATCGAGTTATTCTTGATTGTTACTTAATACGGAACTTGCATCCTTTATTGTTGGATTTAATATTGTTTATTTGATTTCGGTTCTTTCTCCTACCTCGGATTGCAGATCACCATGTGAGGAAAAGAAACAGATATAACATCTTCAGCTCTTTTTTAACTTCGCATTGTGGTTTTAGATTACGAGGAAAATTGTCGGAAATTTATGCCAACAATTTGTTAAAAGCATTGATTGTTTGATTTATTGGCATTTCAATGCTTGGAGATCGATAAGTTTTGTAAGGGGCCGTTTACCAAACACTTACCCGGTAAGTGCTTATCGGTAAAATCTAACACTATTATTTACTTACTGGGTAACATCTTAGTCCACCAAAACGATATCGTATGCAACAATTTACCTGGTAAGCACTTACCGTGGTAAGAGTCGCCTCCTTCA